TCTATCAAGAACAGATTCGGTAGATAAAAAAGTCATACAACAATTTTCAAACTAATTAATATGACAACCAGATGTTTTTTTTGTTTTAAGAAGATGTTTTGGGTGCATAAAATTAGGCGCCCTTCAGAAGAGATTCGGTCTTTTAAAAGAAGACATACGAAAAAGCAATACATATAAATCCCTATGTCTACTTTTTAAAAAATATCACTGTATAGGAGATGAAATATTAAAGTCAGGCTGTACAGAATCAAATTCCTTTTTAATATCATTAGATAAATTTAAATTGTTAAATTGGAAGGGACACTATAGTTGCCTTAAAATGAAAAACAGCAGTACCTAATAAAGTGCCATAGGAATTTTCCATGGCACTAGAAACAACTTCCTTTTTAGAATCAGATACAGTACAACCTCGTTAATCCGAATAGATTCGAACCACCGACCTTTCGGATTATCAAATTTTCGGATTATCGCGAAACTTGTGAAAATAATAGATTTGGACACAAGCATTAAGAAATAAACTTTATTCTTTTCAACAAAACTTAAATTTTATAGACCAAGGACAGAAATCAGTTAAATACTGTACGTAAAACAAAATTAAACTTTGTCCTTGTAAAAAAGCTTAACATTCATATGTATTTATGAGTACAGTATGTACATACACAATTATATACAAATAAATCTTTTGGATTATCGTGATTTCGGACTAGCGTGTTTTCGGATTAACGAGGTTGTAATGTACCTCTAACTTATTACCTTTATTAGAAAATTCCTCATCCTGTGTAAGAAACTGTTATGACGAGAACTTCCTCATTGACTACAATTTATTCTCGTCCTACATGGGGATATAAGCAAGCATAACACAAATGTTTGCCTTTGAATAGGCATGGTGCTCTTTTATGGGTAAATAAAATAAGAAATAAACCACTTCGTTAGCTTACCATGATCGCTTTGAGAGCAAAAAATGCAAGGTTGTGGGGATATTTTATTTTCTCTCTTGCTGAGAAACCAAAGTAAGTTTCTTCATGTAGGTATATGTACTTTTATTATTGCGCATCTTGTAATCAATGTTATATGTATTTGCGATTCTATTATCTACGTTTAAACTTGACCATACTAATTGTGACACTAAACTTCAAAAACTCAATAAAATCTTTAAATGTGGGAGAGTCTGTATCTAGATAATTTTTTTTTAGAATCCTTCCATAGATTTTAGATTAATACTTGTAAAGATAATTGCACAAATATGTAATCGTCTAAATTAGGTGTATTTTATTTGTAATATTTCGCAAAACTTAGTGCATCGTTGTATCATTTGATTGTAAACCACCAAATAATTTTCTGGTGAAAAGCGTACCATTTGCCCAAACTTTAGTGCAGAATTTATCAATATGGTAAATTTTTCTATATCGGAATAAGATGAATTATGTACCATGGCATCAAACATTGCTCGAAATGCCGGAAATTTTTCTGGACATCGGTCAAACTTCGTGAAATTAATATCGCGTAAAGATAATTCTTTTTTTACAGGTGACGGACCGGAAGATATTGATTGTTAATCGTTCACCGGTTTACTAATTGACTAGCGTCAAATGTGTGCTAAAATGTCATAATAAATCCTATATCTCTGACTGACTCTGACTCTAACTGTACGACATCTGTGGCAAATTCGTTGTGGTTTTTGGACATGGATAATTTATCCAAAATCTCTGCAAAATCGTCTGTACAGGACATTAATTTATGGGTCAGAGTTGTTATTTGTTTACGCCATGCGCGTTTGATCTTCCCCGCCAGGTGCAGACATTTCAGATGTCACAACTGATACTCACGACACGACGATAATCTGTGGCGTTGAAATTTCAATATGGTAATTTGATATCAATAAGTTGCAAATTAATCAATCAATCAACACCAGAGAAATATTGTTCCCGTTCCGTAAATCTGAAGATAAATAATTTCTTTTTTTGGCAAATTCAAAATCTACTAACCAAATCAATCGTTATAGTCGGTTAACAACAAAATAGTACCGTTTACACAAAAATTCTTTTTACAAAAACCCAATCCGTTTCTCGAAAAAATATGTTATGAAATTTCTAACTACGCTCTGCCACATTATGTTCAAAATGTGTGTTAAAAGCAAGAAGGATTTGTCACTTACTGGTAATTTGACTTCCTTTTCTTCGGGAGCTCCCTGGCACATCTGGTTCTTGTTTTTGTATTCACATTCGTTACCAAAATCGCACGAGATTATTTATTAATCGGCGTTATATCAAAATTGGGCGACTACGGGAATTACCGATTCAAAAGTGGCAACTCACGGAAAAGATGGAAGGAGGGAGCATAAGGTACTTCTCCCACTTGAATTAAACGTTTTTATGAATTTTAGTTGAATATAACTGAATTTGAACAACTAAATCTTATAGGACTGATTATATACGTGCAATTTGAGTCCCACTCCGAAACGTTGTACCTACAGTGAGTTTTTTTTTAATGCGAACATAGGAGTTTGTATGCAATGTAATTTCCCTATGTTCGATTTAAAAAAAAAACACATCAATCTATGAGGTGTGCGCGGTTCACATTCCCAAATCGCGCAACTTGTGTGACTATGAACAACAGCTCTATAGTCTTTATGATGAGCACTCGGTAAGATTTTTTTAAAGAAGCCATGTGAGGCCATGGCAACTTTAGGATACATTTTTCTTTAAACTTACGATAACTTGACCTCACAGGCCACGCACTGACAACACAACTCATTGTGAACCAACCTTCAATTATTTTTAGGTCATGTGCACCTGGAATTCTACTAATTTGATCTATTCAATACATAAATGAAGAAAATAAGACAATAAATACCGAAAACAATTACAATAAATGTTCGAAGTATGTCCTTCTTGACATTCTAAACAATAACCTAACCGATTTCGTAATTAAATTGGACGGCGGTATTTTTAAAAATGTGACAGCTGTCAATTGTATCTACTACTCATTTGAACTACACAATAGATTGATGTGTTTTTTTTTAAATCGAACATAGGGAAATTACATTGCATGCAAACTCCTATGTTCGCATTTAAAAAAAATTCACTGTATATGTCGTAGTATTCCAGGAAATGAAGGTTTTGCCTTGGCAATTTTTTCAAAATTAATCTATTAACTGAAAATTTTGACAGTAGGTAGGGAATAGGATCAAAAATCTATATCATGCCAAATGGCGCTTTCATCCTGCGGGTGATTGCCACCCCATCTCGGGGGTGGCCAATTTTCTATTCTAATTTTAACACCGGAAGTTAATACCTCTTCAGTTATTCGTCACTGAAGGTATGCCTTTTTCATAGAAAAGATCAATGTTTTTAATTGGTTATTCACGAAAAACTCGAAATGTATGCATTTATTTAAAAAAAACTGTGGAGAACAAAATCGTAGCTTTTAAAAGACAAAGAAAATGTTTCTTTTAATAATTGCTGTATAACTAATACGAACCGAGTTGTGGCTTGTCAAAGATTAGCTCTTGTTCGTCAAACACTAAATTAGAGAGTTTCACATCCAAATAAGGGCCAAACTATGCATTTTTCGAGAAAATCTTATAGCATATTTTTTAAGTATTTAAAAAAACCTTTCTTCTTTTTTTAAAAACAAACTTTAGTATAAAAATTAAGTGAGATACGATGAAGATAAGGTAGATCCGTTCTTTTTCAGCAAAAAAAAACAGCGCGCGCAACTCACTAATTACCATCCTAATTAAAATTGGTCCTTCACGTTTTCCAGTTTTCTCTAATTGCGTATTATTGTTACATTCTAGAAGTGTGACCAGTTTAAAATTGAGGCTAAAAATGAAAAACGAAGTTCTGACATTTTGTGAAAAACGTCCTCTTCAAAATAACTACAAAACAACTGGAGATACGTAAAAATGCTACAGCATCCAATTGTAACTTTTTTAATTCCAAACATGCTAAGAGAGAACTTCCTCAAGCAAAAAGACGATTTCAAAACGCCAGGAAAAAAGTGCAAGTAAACACGGGTGAGTTTGAGTCGGAATTTAAAAGCTTAAGGAAGGAAGTGAAGGCACCCAAGGCCGAAAGAAAAACCTTTTACTTAAGGAAGGATCATAAAAATGTATTATAAAGGATCAAGCATGACCAAAACTGACGAAGGACCTGGGTACGGCCCCTTTGGGGAAAGGCTACAAGATAGTGAACAAAAAATGTTTGCCTGAAATACCGCTCTCGGAAGAAAAAAAAAACAGAACAGTGAACCTGTTTCCAAAAAATGCAAGCGATAATTCGGAACGAGGTGCCGATAACAGGTATGGAACCGTTTGATAAAAAAGAACTGAGGTAGCCGTGAATAAATTAGGAGATAAAGGAATGGACAGAAAGAAAGAAAAGGCCTCTTGCAGGTACTGTCAGAACATGGTTACTTTTCGTCATTCCTACACAGGATAGGAAAGGAACGAAATCTCTGGTGCTGATATTGCAATTGCAAAGATGGTGCACACTGATGTCCCGAATGGAATGGGGAATGGTTAATTCTCTTCAATAAAATCAAGGGTTGGCCTGAAGTGGAAACGGTATGCGAAATAATGATGAAATTTGAAAGAAATTGGGAGGAAATAACGGTGACATAATATAAGAACATTCTACAGATGGAGGAACAATGAAAAAGGAAAGGAAAAGAAGACAACGGTGTGCGAACATCGAGCCACCCAACACCATCCAACCCGTGGTAATGATCACACGGTTCCGGATTAGGGATGAAACTATGGATGAAAAAAACTCAAAAGGGCGTTATGGCATTGTCGCTGCATAATAACTCTATTGTGTGGTTCATTCCCCACATTTGTCCGGATGGAATCGACCCGGAGCGGACTAAAAAGATTCCAAAGTTTGGTATTATGCGCGCACTTATCCGGACCGAATCGGCCCGGAATGGATTCTTCTTATCAATACCGTCTGTTCTGTACCGCTTCCGTCCGGACAAGTGCGCGCAATTATATACAATTATATAAAATACAAATTTACTTTTCTCCATGTATGTTATTTGTACAATGTAGAAGATAAACAATAGTGCTGATTCCTCTAAAGGTAACACACACAATCTCCCGTATATCTGCTACAAAACCCGCCATCCCTATTTCCCATACTTCTACACTTTTTATAACACTCATCTATGTCACATTTGGAGGCCAGATTGCATTGGCACCAAGGATCCTTCGTATTCGGACAGTATCCATTAAAATAACCCTGCTTTTCGCATTTCTCCTTGCATTTGGCATTATTGCATCTGGCAGTGTCACATTTACAAACCGTTTTTCCCGTGATGTGATTGAAATAGCATTCACCTTCAATATGCCCCTTCTTTCGACATTCGTGACTACACCAGTTGTATTCGCAGCGATCTGTAAATGATTTCTTATTATTACTTAAAATAATATTAGGTTAATATCACCTCGATAGTTAAGAGTTGCTGCATCGATTGCAATGCAGAACGCAATTATTGCTAGAAAAACAATGGCTTTTGTCATTTATGTTGGTAAGCTATCAACAATGGTTTCGTGTGATTTAATAGAAAATCTCTCCTAACACTAAGATAGCTCCCCACGCGGTTGATAACGAAGCGACAAAAACTGTAACGCGGTGTTTTCGTTTCGAACAGCCTGGCGAGATAAACTTTGTTTTTCGGCGCATCCTTTGAGGAAATGAATTCAAAGGCAGGGCTTGCAAAAGACCTTCCGTGTACTGTATAGTGTATAGTTTATCAATTCTTATGATGCAGTTAGTTATTATCTACTCCACTATAAACATTGTGTAGATATTGAAACAAAGTGAAAGGGAGATGGCTATACTTTGTTTTTTGCTCGGTTTTTTGTTACAGAAGACATATATTTCTCTTAGTTATATGCCCGATTGAAATAGTACTGCCAAGTGAATAATTGGATATCAGCGTCGAAATAAAAATAAACGGTAATTGAAAATAGTTTTGGCCTGTATTTCTCTTATTAATGTGCCGCGAGGTTTCATAATTTAGGAGTAAAAGCTCACACATCCCTCAATGTCTGTTTGCACTGATGAGATCCTGACAACCAAGAGACTTTCGGTATAAGAAGTCACCTCTGTGTCAACGACCTCTAGGTGGGCGGATGAGGGGGTACAGGTTCGAGGCACCTTGCTGTTCAGAAAATGACAACTCTAAAAGTGGAAGAATTCTTCGGGATCAACGGCGTCAGGATGGAGAGATGGGAAACACCTCACGGTATCCTTTGCGGAAGTTCCAGAGAAAGGTAAAGAGAAATATAGAATGTTCGAATTAGTACATTATACATCAAGGGAGAGAAATGCATTATTTTTCCCGCGGTGCGATTTGTAGCCAGAGGGCGAAGCGAAGCGGAGCCCGAGGGCTACAAAGCACCAAGGGAAAATGGCATTTCGCTCCAGAGGTGTATATACTATTTTTTGCATTCGCGTCGACGTTTACCTATACTCTTTAAATGAATTGATGGTTCTTTGAAGATTATAACCACATATTAATCAGGTTAGTGGAGAATTAAGTATAACCGTGGCAACCAATAAATTAAAATTTAATCATGTTAGTCGAGAATTCAGATAAACCATGGCAACAGATAAACAAACAATGTTTGCTGTTGAAAAAGTGCGTGAATTAAAATGGAAGTTGCGGGTTGTTCTGAAGAACCTTATGAAATTACAAACGCCGCTAACGCCGCTGTCGTGAATTTACTACCTGATAAGTCGAAAAAGTTGTATGAAGCAGCATATAAAGGTTTTAAAGACTGGTGCATAGAAAAAGATGTCGCGACCGTCACCGACAATGTTATGTTGGTTTACTTTAGCGAAAAAGCCAAAAAGTACAAATGTTCAACGGTATGGGCACAATATTCCATGGTGAGGTCTTGTATGCTCATTTACGACAATGTTGACATCAACAAATTTCCAAAATTGATATCATTTTTAAAAAGGAATTCTGATGGATATTCTCCGAAAAAATCGAAAATATTTAATAGAGAAGAGGTGGAAAAATTCTTGCTTGAAGCTGACGATGATACCCATCTTATGCGAAAGGTAAAATTGCGTTTACTTAACGTATTAAACATTGCTAACCATTTCCTCTTTAGGTTGCGTTGATTTTTGGAATATCTGGCGCATGTCGCACTGACGAATTGGTCAATATGACACTGGATAACGTTGAAGATGTGGGGTCTTCTTTCATAATTACCCTGCCACATACAAAAAACAAAACATCCAGAACGTTCGTTATAGCGAGTAATGAAGGCGGTAAAGTGGATTTTCTTCAGATAATTCGCAAATACACGTCCCTTCGACCTGGAACTAACCATGGACGATTTTTTGTTTTCTACAAGAACGGAAAATGTACTCAGCCGGTTGGGAAAAACACGCTTGGCAAGGTGCCAAATATGATCGCCAATTACTTAAAATTACCAAACCCAGAACTCTATACGGGGCACTGCATGAGGCGTTCCTCCACCACTCTATTGGCGGATGCTGGAGCTGACATCACCACTATAAAACGGCATGGTGGGTGGAAGTCCACCACAGTCGCGGAAAGCTACATTGAGAACTCTGTGGCCAACAAAACGAAGATTGCAAATCAGATTATTCAAGGTAGCACTACCTCAAATGTCAATATAACATCGGGAGCCAGTTCTGATTCGAATCTATTGATTAATAAAATTCCAGCGGTAAATTTTACAAAATGTGAAAATATAACGTTTAATTTAAATATAAACAATGTACCTTTTTAAGTTTGAGTTAATATAACCTATATAAATATCAGGGAGTTTTCATTATCATTATTTCTCAAGGGACTGAAATGCAATTTCTGTCCCTGTTTTGTGATCATAGAAACGGATTTTTACCCTCGCGAGTGCAAAAATAAATTTTCCGCTTTTAAAATAGACCCCAACTCGGACCTCCGGGGTGGACAGTATCCGAAGAGTAGATTCAAGAAAAACAATGAGAAGAAGGTAAAAGGTAAATGAAGGATGGGAAGTTGGAACATCACATGTGTACTAAAGGAGGACAAACTGGAGAATCTACGAGGAGAAGTGATTAAAAATAGACTTGATTTGATTGGAGCAAGCGAAACAAGATGGAAGGACAGGAATAGGTTAATTGTGATGATGATGTTCTTTTACAGTGGTAAAAAAAGGGGGAGTAGGATTTATTGTCAGCAAGGAACAAAATAAGAAATATAAATAAATAAAATAACTAAAAAAAGACAGTGTAATACTACACTACCGTCTGTTCTACCACTTAACCCTGCTTCTTTACTTCTTCTTGATTAGTCATTATGGCAAAAAGTTCATAGGATAAATTGAAAATGAGAAAAAAGTAGATCGTTTCTATGATTCTCATGGTGTTAGCATAAAACTTACGCTACCCTGTATTATGATAATGGTAACAATTCCGCCTAATCGGCGCAATTCTCGATTCCTGTGTGTTTTTCAGCCAGCGGACATATAGGCACTTATATTTTTTATATTTTTACTTAAATTTTAACCAACATATTGGTTATCCAAAATGTTTTAGAATAGGAAACTTAATTTTCCATTGATGAGGATAGGAAAATATCTTTCTGGATCTAATCCAGTCATATTAGGATATTACCTAAAAATAATTCCCTAAAATGGGATACTTTGCATATGTGTTGTACTAGTACCCGTTAACGCATATAAAAAATCAACACTCGTACATGCTGTGCCGTGCTGTGTCGATGTCATCTTGGAACATGGCGAGCGATTTTCATTTTTTTACCATATTTCACTGACCGTTCGAAATACAAATCATTTTTTACCGACTGTTTAGCTTAGTGGTAGAGCGTTGGGCTACATAGCCGGAGGTCGGGCTGAGGTAAGAATTTACATCTGTGGCAGAGGTGTTAATTTCTTTAGATCAGTTTCGAGCATTCTGCCGTCTACTCCGAATTAGGTCTTCGTGCAGTTTTCCTAATTCGTAAGTTTTATTTTATTTTATTGCCTTTATTTATAGTGGGCGGAGTGTTAGCAATTTGCTACTCTTCCCACTCAGTTAAATACAGCAGTATTATAGAATAACTTAAGACCTGCAGAGACACCTCTAAAAAGCAGTATGCGGGTCACTCTGTAATTGAACGAAAGACTGTTGAGGGCCCAAAACCAGAGGGAATATAAATAAATAAATAAACATAAAAAATACATCATGTCATTTCTCATAGCAATAAATGATAGAAATAAATTTATGAAATGAATAAAACCACATATTAACCGGATGTAGGTATGGCCGAATCAATAATTCTTTGGGCTTCTCGGAGACAATACTGTGACATGTAATCTCTCTATTGAGAAAGTTCCATTAGTATCTCTCACCTCATCAGTTATGGTCAACAAGGAAAACTAGTTCCTACCAGCAGGATCATGTGGTTACATAGCACTCCAAAAGAGCTAAAAGAGTGTTTTAAGTATGAATAGGCACAAAGACCTACTACGATTTTCAACGAACCGTCTATGAGTTCATAAAGCTACAAAATCGTGTCTAATTACTGCTTTCAAAGAAGAACAGTAATAATCTATTATTCCCAAACAGGACTGCATATGTCTCGTCTTAGATGCAAACTTTGCAATTTACAGCAGAAACCATATAACTCGTTGTAGAGCTTCTGAAGATTCTGAGTTTAATTTCAACATCAAAAATAGCAATCTTAAGTTTTGCCGTCGCGATCGTGAAACAGCAATGTCATATGTTCTGAACGTTATTTCATATCATACCCCGCGTCCCATTTGAAATAAGAACTACAGATGTCATTAGAATGCAAAATCATTTGTCTCTCTGTAGCTACCCGTGTGATTTAAGTGATCACTTTAACCACTCTTACTGTTAAGGAGAGATTTAGTCTATACTCACTGAAATCTATTAAAATGTCATTCTAACATCTGCTGTAAAATAAATAAAATAAATGAGAAAACTTCTCGTACACCTTATTACCGCTTGTTGCTATGGCTACAAGGCATTCAATTCTAAACGGTATTCGTCTCTGATATTAGATACCCTCCCTTTTCCTTCTTCACTGAGAAATTGTAAATCGTTTGCATTGTGAGTTCGGTTGTGAAAATGACTACATAATGTAGAAGGGCTTTAAGATGCACTTGCTGGTGGTAGGGCGTTCCGTGCACGCCAGGGCATATTGTTTGTGACAGCGTATGATGACAGTATTACTTGGGTAACCCTCCTTTGAAAATACTAAGAACATTCAATGAAACATTATGGCAATCCACGAATAAAATTTCCCTTGTAACTTCCTAGAAAAAAGAAAGCGTATATTTTGTTAAAGTGAGCTAAAAACTAACAAAACTTAAAGAGTGACGTATCAAGGTTTAATAGGCGCACTTTTCATTTAGTCCGGAGGGACATTTACCATCGCATTTACCATAAGCAGGAGGTTGTAAATGTATCGTCAATATTTAACAGCGCTAACGGCAGTGTCAGCATTAATGGCTTCCACTATTTAACCTTAACGATATTAAATTTTGCCTTAAATACTGAACCATACGGACAAAAGTATTTGT